TGGCTACAGTCCTATGTTCAAGGGCAAAAATTAAAATGTAAAGTTACCACATTTAGTTTTGAACCCAATATAAATTACAAATGCTAACCACAGTATTAGGGTTGGGTGAAGATTGATGAGAGCTCCTCAAAGTGATCTAAGATGCTATTTCATGTTTAAAATTATAGCAAAAATTACTTTGCTAAATCCATAAGGTGTTCAACCTTAGTAAGTTTTATTAACATTTTCTGTTATGGGCACTATTCATGGCCTAATTTTGTGACTTTCCCATAAGTCTTTGTTCCCATGAATATTTTAGAACAGTAAATAGATTTGAGAAGATTTTAGATCAATATAAACTTTTGAATTTGAACATTTTCATCTATAAGCACTATTTATGATCAAATTTTATGATATACATCTTTGTTCCCATGAGTATTCTAGAATAATAAATAGATTTAGCCAAATTTTGTGACCCTCCAATAGGTGTTTGTTCCCATGAATATTTTAGAAAAATAAATAGATTCAAGAAGATTTTAGATTAATGTAAGTTTTGAATTTAGACTTTTTAGAAGGTAACCTATCCTAGTATTATTCAAACTCAAGGGCATTTAATTATAAATATCTTAAAACTTTTAACTGATTGAAAAAAAGGGACATTTTTTTATGGGTTTTTTTTTTTACATTTATACTTTTATAGTTGTATTTCAAGTCATTTGTTTTTGTTATTTACAATTTAACATGCTTCCTTACAAATTCACTCCTTTTTGAATGAAAATCAAGAGCCATATTTCTCTTTTAACACTCTATTTCTTGGGTCAAATTGAACCACTAAATATCAATTTTAATATGGTGTGAAACTAAATATAAACTCTTGAATTTAAACATCTTAGAAGCTCACCACACCCAGAATTATTTAAACCAAAAAACATTTAACCCTAAACTTTGTAAAGCCCTTAATCAATCATCTTTCATTTTGGTTACTTACAATCAACTTATATAATATGGCTAACTATTAATTAATTATACCGATAACACAATAATAGTTTCTACTAGGATCAATTCTTGATATTATTCTAGAATTGATAGTAAATACTCCAAAATGTTTATTGTTTAGCATCTTTTGTGCATACAAAAAATACTAGGATTGAGCAAGTGTAATAAACATTACAACCCATAAATCTACATTCACATAAAACATGCTGTCAAACATTTGAGATGCTCTGTAAAGATGTCTATTATAAGTATATATTGTAAAAAAAGCATAATATAGTGCAATATCTTTACTGCACATTTTAATAAATATTTTTTAATTATTTTCAAGTTAACAATTTTTGGAAAAGGAACTGAACATTGTTTATTTTGCATTTTATTAATGTTGTTATGTAAGAAATAATTTTATAGAAGTGCATATTGTTGTATATAAGCTTAAAAACTTCAATCATTTTCTATGGAATATATGAAGTAAAAGATATTTTCTGAGATTGCATTTTCCCTTATTCAAATTTGTTTAATAGCATGTGTAATAATAAAGCTAAAGAACTTAATTATTTAAAATTGTGCTAGAATAAACAATATTAAAATAATGGTTATTGTGACATAAAAGATTTAAAGCTATATCAATAGGAAATAAATGACTTACACAGATTTCACAATTTATTATATATTTTATATCTGAGTTGTCTTGGTTGATTTGGGTGTAAAAATAATTTTTGTTTATTAAAAATCAATTTAATTTTAAAAGTAAGTAGTTATATAAAATTTTATTATGTATTCTAATTGCTACTTTGCATCTTAACAATATGTAAACTTATAGCTAGTCATAAATTCTTAAGAAAGTTTATTCAGCTATTTAATAAAGAGTATGTTTATTTTTTATGTACTTAATATTTTTAATCTATAATTATATTATTTGATTATTTACTTTTTACTACTAAATTATACTTTAAATTTTGTATTTGATTTAATTTAGCATTTTTATTATGGTTTTAAAGTCACTATTTTATGTACATAAATTATAATGCTTTAGTGTAACTTCCTCTTTAATTTTTATCTTCCACATGTTTAAAGCATTGAAAGTAGTAATAATACTAGTTGATCAGTTTTTTCTATAAATATTTATTCATGTGAATAATTTTACAATAATTTAAATATAAAAATGGAGTTCTTTTAAATTTGTGGTAATTATGGTTAAAATAATACAATTTTATAGTTGATAAACGTACACATATCTATCGGGACTTTGATTTTGAAATTACTAAATTTCTTTAGTATAAAAATACTAATTCCAACCAATAATATTAAAGAATATGTATATAATAGAAATGTATCACAAATTATAAGAGTTTTATCTGAATTTCAAAATTAATACCTTTTATCTAAGTACTTTAGGGTTTATAGGTGCCATGCTTTTGCATTTGCCTGTTTGTCGGTCTCAGAGCGTGTTCCAGGCAGTCAGGGTGGAATCCAACACCCCACATTCTCGTCCACGAGTTTCTGACTGGAAGAACAAGGAGGAGGAGAGCAAGCCCGAGAATGTAGCTCTACAAAGTAAGAAATCTTCAAGGAGCAGGAATTTGAAGCCCTCAAATGACAACAGGATCGACAAATCCTCTTACGCCGGGATTTCTCCTGTTCGCGCAGGTAAACTGGAAGAACCTTTATCGTTTGAGATAGGAAAAATAGAGGAACATGAAGGAAAATTACTCTCTTGTCTCTTTGGCAGTGGTGGTGGTAAGATTGATGAGGATTGAGATGGGAGGAGCTTTCTCAGACGTCCTAAACGGGGATGGAGAAGATCGCTTGGATAAAGAAATGGAGTACGTGAAACGAACTCTGGGATTTAGCATACCGAGTTTGAGGCCTGAAAATTTGAAGCTGGTTTGATCTTAGCATTTCTTTTGGTTTTCCTAGTTATTGACGATTGTTTTTATAGGTGACTGAAGAGGTCGCTGGTATTGTTCGCTGGAAGAAATATCTCGACTATGTGATAAGCAATGTCTATGACAAGGATCAAAACGAGTTTGAGCGAATGGAGCCCATTCTAAAGCAGGTGTATTTCCCATTGTTTCGTACTTCAATTAATCGTTTTTCTTTCGCTCCAGGTCCTTCGACTAGGAGCTTATGAGCTTTTGAAACTCGAAGTACCAGCTTATGCTGTTGTCAATGAAGTAAGATTTTTTTTTTCTATAAAGTCACTATTTTTAAAATTTTCTTTTTCTTTCACAGGCCGTCAAACTTGCCAATGCTGCTTCTCGGGCTGGAGCTGGAAAATTGGCCAACGCACTTCTTCGAGCAGTAGCTTCACACAAAGTAGAAGAATAAGAAAGAAAAACTTCTCTGTGTTTTCACACAATGCAAGAGTCTTGTTTTTTACAGGAGAAGAACACGCTGCCCGTTCCTGAAGTAACAGGAAACTTGCGGTCGCAAGCGAGAGCATTAGCAACAATCCATTCCCATCCAGTTGTGAGTAGACAATGCCAAGTAAATCGTCGTGTTATTCTGTTTCTTTTCGTTTTTGACGCAGTGGATGGTGCGGCGATGGACAGATCGATATGGCACTGAGGACACTTTAAAACTGATGGAGTGGAACAACACAAGGCCCTTTTATGCTTTAAGGTACCACGATATGTGATTTGTAGACTCTTTACGTGTTTGGTTTTCTGGCTTTCAGGGCGAATAATGCCACTGGAACCTCTCGCGATGATTTAATAGAACAGCTTACAAAGCTCGAGGTGGGATCAATCACAATCTCTTTTTCTACTCCTTCGAATCTCTTTTTGTTGTTTTTTTTTTCTGCCTGTGCTTAGCAGGTTTCATATGTTAAGTCGCCACTACTGAAAGACTTTGTTCGAGTGACTTCAGGACTTCAGGTAGCTTGTAGATGATAACTCAAGTCAGCTGATAAAATGATGTCGTTTTCTAGGAGGTGCTGAGATCTGGATTGATCCAACAGGGACGATGCACAGTCCAGGACGAGAGTGGTGGTATGTGTACTCTTCCACATACATTTTTTTCTTACTTTTCCAGAATATTTTATCTGAGAGTTTCTTTCAAAGGCCTGGTGGTGGAACTGCTGGATCCACAGCCTGGAGACTTAGTGATCGACTGTTGTGCTGCACCTGGTGGCAAAAGTCTCTATATTGCTTCACGACTGAAAGGAAAAGGTCAGCTTTTTTCCATCCCTTTTTTGCTTTGAGATTTTCTTTTGTGGACGAATCAAAGAGATGGTGCTACAGGGAAAGTGATAGCAGTGGATATCAACAAGGCACGTCTCCAGCTTCTCAAAGATTCCGCAAAGAAAGCAGGCGTGAGCGAGCAAGTATCCGTCTACAATGTGGATGCCCGAGACATGATCCGTGTGAGTAAGAACTTACCACTTTGTAAGATTTATCTAAAGCTTTTCCACTTTTTTCTTTTCTTTTGTGAATGTGAAGGGTAAAACAGGTCTAGCGGATAGAGTTTTACTGGACGCTCCGTGCAGTGGTCTCGGTGTTCTATCCAAGGTAAGAACATTTGATCAATGCAAGAGCAATAATTTTGATCAAAACAAGGTTTTGCTCAATTTTTTCGATAGAGGGCGGACTTGAGATGGCGTAGAACTCTGGAAAGCTTTGAGGAATTGACAAAGCTCCAAGACGAGCTACTGGACGGTGCTTGCAAGTATGTTTTTTCCTTTCCATCGTTTTTCACTCGCTCGGCATTGGTATCTCTCTACTTGTAACAGGATGGTTCGACCGGGAGGAGTGCTTGTCTACAGCACTTGCTCGATCGAACCGGACGAGAACATCGATCGGATCACTAGTTTTCTCGCTAGAAATCAAGTGAGTCTTTCCTTTTTTACCAGCTATTGATGTGAAATCGTGTGTTCTTCCAGAACTTCATCCTGGAGCCACTCGAGAGAGAAGTTCCTCGAGAAATGGTCTCTCGGGAAGGATGTTTTTACTCTCTGCCGTACACGCACGGCATAGATGGAGCATTTGCGGCAAAGCTCAGGCACAAAGCTTAATTTAAAAGAGGAAGAATATGCCAAATGCAAGGGCAAAATATGGCTATGGCACTGTTGTGGATAATCATCAGCTCGATCGTCCTCTCCGCGCCCGGGTTTGCGAATGCCGGTGACAGAATCGTGGAAGGGACCGTGGCATTCGCCTCTGTCGGGCGAGCGCACTACGCATTCGATGTGTTCTTGCTGGATTTCCGCCCGTGGGAGCTCGAGAATGCAAGCCTAGGGCCGCATTTGGAGTTTCGGGCCACCGATGGCGTCTCTGTCAACTACAACGGGGCGCTGGTGGATGATTCTCAGCGGCGAGTGATCTTCGAGGCGCTGGATTTCCGCGGTGAGCAGCAGGGTGATGGGAGCCAAGGGATTCTTATCTATGTCTCCGAGCGGGATGGCGCTGCTGAGGTTCGATTCAATCTCTTTTACCAGGGGCAACGCGATCGAGGCGAGCGAAGTCTCGGAAATATCGAGAGCGGCTCTCAAGAATCTCATGGAAACAGGAGGGATGCGCTGGAAATCCATGGCGATAGAGGGAATTCCCAGAATTTCATCGATTTGGGGAAGCTATGGTCGAGCAGCGAGGTGGAACCGACAGCGCTCTACGACAGACCGTCGGTGGCCGATGGGAGAGTGATCTTCGTCTCGACAAGGAAGCCGCGAGAGCAGTCGAGGCAAAGCTGGGCGGCAGTCTACTCCATGGACATCGTCACGAAGAAAATCACGAGGCTCACTCCAGAGGGCGTCACAGACTACAGCCCTTCGGTCTCTCCATCTGGGAAGTTCGTCATGGTTGCTTCGGACGATGGTCGAGGCTGGGGAGGAGAGATCGAAGAGCTTGACACGGATCTATACTCTTTTCAAGCCTGGGATGGATCCGGAAGAAAGCTCGTGGTGAAGAATGGAGGCTGGCCATCTTGGTCGGACGATTCGACCGTCTTCTTTCACAGGAGAGCCGAGGATGGGTGGTGGAGCGTCTACAAGGCCACTTTCTCAAAGTCCTTCACGGCGATTCGAGAGGAAAGGATCACACCACCGGGAGTTCATGCGTTCACTCCAGCGGCTTCACGGACAGGGAAATGGATTGCTGTAGCAACTCGAAGAGCCGGCTCGCTATACCGTCACGTAGAGGTGTTTGATCTCGGCTCGAGGAAGTTCCACAAACTTAGCGAGCTCGTTGCTCCGGAGGCTCATCACTACAACCCTTTTGTCTCGCCAGAGTCGGACAAGATCGGGTATCACAGATGCCGGGGAAAGGGAGTGACTCCTCGGCTGGAGCACATCAAGTCTCCAGTTCCAGGAATCTCTCTCGTGCGAGTTGACGGGGACTTCCCCGTGTTCTCTCCCGATGGAGAGTCCATAGCTTTCATCCCCGACTTGGACGAAGGTGGCATTTACGTGACGCGGCTCAACGGCTCGGGCATGACCAAAGTTTTCGACAAGCCGGCCTTCGGACTCTCCTGGGACAAGCAGAGGAAAGGCGTTCTCTACACGAGCTATGGCCCGGGATTCGTGCCGGAGGACACCATCGTTCACATCGTCTCCATTCTCAACGCGGACGAGCTCATCGCCGGCGGCGGAGGTGCAGTCAAGTGGAAGATCCTGACGAAGAGCGGCACCAAGAACAACGCATTCCCATCGCCATCGCCCGACGGCAAGTGGATCGTCTTCCGGTCCGGACGCTCGGGACACAAGAACCTCTACATCATGGACGCGATCCATGGCGAAGAAGCAAGCTTGAGGAGACTCACCGAGGGGGCCTGGACGGACACAATGGCGAGCTGGTCACACGACGGAGAATGGATCGCGTTCTCGTCGGATCGACACAACCCCGGCGGTGGCAGCTTCCAGCTCTACTTTGTTCGTCCCGATGGTAGCCAACTCCACAGAGTTCTCAACTCCAGCACTGGAGGGCGAGTGAACCATCCGTTCTTCAGCCCGGATTCCAGGAGCTTGGTGTTCACCACGGACTACGCTGGCGTGTCCGCGGATCCGATCGCTGTTCCGGCGCAGTTCCAGCCGTATGGAGAGATTTTCATGGCGAGAATCGATGGGAGCGAGCTCGTCCGGCTCACGCACAACGCGTACGAAGATGGAACTCCATCCTGGGGGCCTGTGAAGTTAGATTCGAGCGCTCTCACTGGGGAAGGGAAGAAGGCCCGCTGTGGCTTTAGAGACACGAGATGGCTCAAGCCCGTCATAGCTCAAGCCCGCCATGGCTAGATTCATAGTCAGCCGCTAGATGCGAGCCATCGGACGGTCTACATAAATTTAAATGTAGTTCATAGCACTGGGTTTTAGGGTTCCTGCCCAGGGATGAAGAGGTTCTTCCAGCCCGTGGAGCGCGATGGCGCCTCCAAGAAGCCCTCCATCGCGATCGCCAACGGCGGCGAGAATGCGTGCGCCGATCCATCCAGGTTCATGTCTTGGAATGCGAATAGCTTGCTTCTGCGATTCAAGAACAACCGGGAGGAGGTCATGAGCTTCATCCGCGGCTTCGATCCGGATGTGATTTGCATCCAGGTGGTGTCCCAGCTCCTAGCTAGCGATCGGATTTCTCATCGACAGGGATTGCTTGCTTCCAGGAGGTTCGTCTCCCGGCGGCTGGATTTAAAGGCGAGAAGAAAAATCCGGGAGAGATCAAGGATGATAGCGCTGCTGCTCGCAATGACAAGCAGGTATGGGATTCTTTCTTTCTCCAGTGATGCATTGGCTAGTAGGCTGTGATGCGTGTTCTATCGGTGTCGCCAATGGCAGATTATAGCGTGTGGTGGTCTCTCGGAGAGAACAAGTACGCTGGAACAGCTCTCTTCGTGAAGAATTGCTTCAAGCCAGTGTCGGTGGCCTTCAACATTGACAACAAAGGCAAAGGTTCGTAAAATCATTCTTTGTTTCTTTTTTGTTCTTTGGCATTTAGAAAACTCAACAAGATTAGATTTTTTTTTTTCGTGGATGATAGATGCACAACGCCATGAGATCGATGGGAGAATTATCTTGGCGGAGTTTGGATCGTTCACTCTTCTCAACACTTATGCGCCAAACAATGGATGGAAGGAAGAAGAGAATGGTTTCGTGCGAAGAAGAGCGTGGGACAAGAAAGTACTCGAGTTTGTGAGCTCTTGCAGCAAGCCGCTCATTTGGTGCGGTGATCTTAACGTGAGGTACGTACGATTTGAAGGTTCTTTCCTTGTAAATGAAGCGTGCGAGTGTGACTTTCAGCCATCAGGAGATCGATGTAACTCATCCGGAGTTTTTTGCAAACGCAACCCAACCCGGCTACACTCCTCCAAACAAAGAGGTATACTTTTCTCCTAAAGCGACTCTATGTATTGGAATTGTGAGTGATCAGGACGCTGGACAACCCGGATTCACGCTCAATGAGCGAGCAAGGTTCTCAACGATCTTAAATCGGTTAGTATCTCTTGGAAAAAAAAAATAATAAACAAACTGAGATCTAACTTTAACTTGATCTTTGTGAATTCAGGGGAAATCTGGTGGACACGTACAGGCATCTCCACGAGAAGCAGGACTTGGAGGCTGGATTTACGTGGTCTGGAAATCCCGTGGGAAAGTAAGTACAACCGTAAAAAAGGAGTTTTACTTTTTCTACCTGGAGAATGACAATCGTGAAAAATCCCAGGTATCGCGGCAAGCGTATGCGAATCGACTACTTTCTAATCTCCAAAGCGCTGCTTCCTCGTCTAGCCAGCAGCAAAATCCACGGCCGTGGAATCGAGCTAGAAGGTTGAGTGTTTTCTTTTGATCTCTTTGCTTATCTTCCAAACAATGATCTAACAGAGTATCTCTTCTTTCCAGGATTCCTTGGAAGTGATCACTGCCCACTGACCATGGAACTCAAGAATCAAGCCGGCCAAAACCACGAGTGAGAGTGGCGCGAGATTTTCATTCTTTTTATATATACGGAGTCAAGGCATTGCATCCCATCCCTCCCTCCACTGCGAATATTCCACAAAGACGGTGCTTTTGTTTAGCCCGTCTCTGTCCGACACCTGTCCGGCCAGAAAAGCTTTTGTTGCTGACTTTAAAAAGCATATTCTGGGCCATAGAGTCTATGCGACAGCGACGCACACACGCAAAAGAAGGCGTACGGCGTGGCCACTGTTCGATCGCAAGCGTACGGTCTGTGGTGTAGCGCGAAATCGATGTCGCATGCTATGTATGCTATAACGTGATTTACAAAGTACTCCGCGATCAAGCTTTGAAAAGCACCAATTTTCAGCATTTTTTTTTCTTATTCTCTCCCAAATTCAATCGACAAAGATTTTGGCTGATAAACTCCGGAGAAAAGAAAAAAAAAAAAAAAACGCGGGGAGCCTGATTTTATAAAAGACCGAATGACAAAAGGTTCTCTAAGAGATGATCGCTGTTTGGCCGCTGCCAAGCCGAAAAAGAAAGAGCGGGAGAGAAACCAAAAGAGGGAGGAGAATTTACACTGAGACGAAACGATGATCGACGATAGCAGCAGCAGCAGCAGCAGCAGCAGTAGCAGCAAGTGCGCCTTATTATTTTCCGACCCCCAGAAAATGGTTGTTTTTTTTTTCAGTTTTTTTTCTTCTCTTTGATCTTTTGCTCGCAACTCGGCCCCCAAAATTTGTCGCAAATTGGTGTTTCGTAAATCCTGTCCTTCCTCCTTTTTCCCTGTGCCTGGCAATTCGATCTCACGAAGAATCTCTCTCCCCTAAATCTCAGCCTGCGTAGTCGGCGGCGAGGAGGAGCTCACCGAAATGGGCGGAGGGGCGGCGGCGGGCGAAGAAACGGACGCAGAATCCACCGATGTCGTGGTTGACAATCCCATCGTCGACGTCGAGGAGCCCGCCGCCGTGGACGTGGACGACAGCGAGCCGCTGCTGCTGCTCCCCTGGATGTGCTGCTGCTGCTGCTGATCCTGCCCCTCCAGCTCCACTAAAGTCGCCCTACTAGCTAAGTGGTGGTGGTGATGGTGGTGAATCGACGGCGGCGACGCCGGCACCTCGGAACCGAAGCCGTAGATCGCCGCCAGCGGGTGGTCGAACTTGCACGTCGGCCCGAACTTGCAGATGCCAAACCGGATGTAGTATGAGCACGGTTGCACGCCCTGCATTCGCGTAGTATAAAGTCAATAACACATCCCTAAGAAAGATGGCGAAGGGGAAAGGTGGCGGACGATGAATAAAAAGGTGGTAGAACAATGGAGGGTAAAACAAGACTAGCACAGAGGTGGCGGATACATACCGTACGGAGTGGCAAGCCCATGGGACTGAGCATTGTGGGTGCGGACGCGGAGATTCGGTCGCGCGGGTGGTGGAATCTGCAGGATGCGCCGTACTTGCAGTCGCCGGTCTTGAGGTAGTACTGGCACTCGGCCACGCCCGGCCGCTCCGGGAAGGCGTCCCCGCCGCCGCCACCCTTGTGCTCGCGCAGCCCCGCCGGGAGGCCCATTGTGGGGGACCCCGGCACAAATGGGCTGTAGTCGGCTGTCGTGGGGGAGCTCGCCCCGGGAAGATAGAGCTGTTGATCCTGGAAAAACCAACCGAGCTTTCAGTATAAGATCGTATGCTGCAGTGTGATCCACCATAGTAAATTCTAATCGCTCGCTTCGATCATTCGTTCCAAGCAATGAAATCAAACAATGGGAATGAAATGCGAACCATGCAAAGGTTTTGGATCGAACGGAAGAAACCAACGAAAGAGAGAAGAGGTTCTGGTGGCTTACGTGATACGTGCTCCAACCGGGGATGGAAACCACCCCTTGTGGGGAAGGAAGAAGAAGTGGGGTGTAACTCGACGCCCCGGCTTGCAATCTCGGGCTGGGGAACGGTCTCATTGTCGGCCACCCCGGCTGAAAGTGCTGCGGCGTCCCGGTTGCGGCGTTCGGCGTCCCCGGTTGGGACGCCCCGGCGGCGGCGGCGGCAGCGGCGGCGGCGGCGTAGATGGATGGCACCACCGCCGGTTGAGGGTGGTGGAATTTGCAAGTCACTCCGTATTTGCAAGACCCCGTTCTCATGTAATACGCGCATTCTTTCTCGCCCTGTGATAGAACAAGAAAAAAAAAAAAAACAGATAATTAAAAAAAAGATAGCCATGAAAGGCAAACGGAAGTATTTTTAGTGATCGGGAGTTTCTTCCGACAGGGATTTTGCGAGAGATTTTCTAGGGATTATGTTTCGGAGAGATGAGTTACCGGGCGGTATGGGAGGCCGACGATGTTTAACTGGACTCTGGATTGGATGCCCGCTTTGTCTCGAGGGTGGTCGTATTTACAAGTGGATCCAAACTTGCACGTCCCGGTCTTGAGGAAATACTGCTCCAAAACCGCAGGAACAACAAAAACACATCGAGAGGAATCGATCGGATTAGTTCTGGGCGAGGTGGCGGAGATATGGGGGGCGGATTATCGCTAATCACACCCCCCGGAGGATTTAAGCTCTTTTCTTTTACCTGGCACTCGGGTTGCCCAGGCCTTTCTGGGTACTCGCCTTTGCCACGAGCTATGGCAGCAGCCTGGAAGAAGAAGAAGAAGAAGAAGAAGAAAGAAAAGGAAGGGAAAAAAAGAGAGGGGGAAGAACAGAGGAAAAAAAAAAAAAAGAAAACCATCACACACGGTTGGCTATGGCGGACGAGAGATTGGAGAGAAAGAACTTGGAGAGAATTGGCGAGGGAAGAGTGCTTACCAGCTTGCGATTTGGAGGGTGATTGAATTTGCAGCTCATTCCAAAGGCGCACAGCCCGGTTCGCATGTAGTAGACGCAGTCTTGCTCGCCCGGGCGCTCGGGATAAGGCCCGCCGCCACCCCCGCCGCCACCTCCGCCGCCTCCGCCACCCCCCGGCGCCGCCATGTCCACCATCCCGGGGTGATCTCCCGCGCTCTGCAAGCTCAGCCCCCACATCGCCTCTGCAAGAACAAGACAAAGATCCGGGACAAGGATTGGTGAGGAGAATTCCGAGGAGAATTGGGGTGGCAATGCGCCGCGATCCAAAAGCCCCCTGCGCTAGAGCTGGATCTCGCGAGCTCGAGCTCTCAAGAAACTCACACTCTCTCTCTCTCTTTGATCGATGGATTCGCGAGAGCTTACCTTCGAGGCCAGTGGGATTGGGCGGCGCCGCGGCCTGCTGCTGGGATGATCCCTCCTGCCGCCATTCCTGGAACGAGGATGGATGATCCACCACGCCGCCCGGCTGCTCGTAGCCCACGAATGGCGAGGCCCCCGGCGGCGCTACTGGCTGGTAGTAGTCCATACGACGACGATCAGCCCTCCTCCTCCCCCTGTGGCGGCGACGATGGTCGAGGATCGCGGCACTGTAGAACAACCATGGGATCTACGCTCCCCAGCTCGCGATTTGCTCGAATCCGCGCGCTAGCCCGCCGCCCCGCCGGCGATTGGCGGCAGCCCACTGCCCAATTCCGCGAGATCTGCGACCAGCGCGAGGAATGCCGCCCCGCCCTAGCGAAGATCCGGCCTTGGATCCTCGTTTGCTGCGTGTGATCTCTCTCGCGAGAGAGCGCAGCAAAGAGGATCTCTTGCCTCTTCCCTTGTTCCTGCCTTCCTTGCTCGCTTCTTCTTCGTCGCGGTGTGTTCTTCGTTGGCGCTAATGTGCTCTGTTTTTCCCGAGCTTGGGGGGGCCTTTCCTATGGTGAGCATTTCGGCGCATCGTGGCCGTTGGCGGGGCGGGATCCACGGCCCCTGTCCGGCCAGCGGGGCGGCGGAGGGCTATCTTGTACATGTCTCTCACTGCCGCATCCGGACCGTTGGGCAGGAGATCTGACGGGCATAATCAGGCCACGAGATCCTCGGTCGCGCTGTCTCGTGCTCCGTGACCGTCTGATGGGCGGATCCACGGCCCAAACCAACACACTTGTCGAGATGGGAAGCCGTCGGATTTAAGAAGCGTCGTAAGTGTCTTGGATTATTAATATTACCGGCCGAATTTTACCCCTCTCGCTAAAAAATCATTCAATGTAGCCTAGTGTGTGAATCGGGCCGAGGCAAAAACATGCGCACAAATTTTGTGCGCGCGCGGTTTCGAGGAGCGCAACCGCGCGGCATTTTTGGGCCGCAATAATGGCGCACCTTCCGTACGGTATTGTCCCAGCTGGGAATCGAACCTCAAAAATCCCTTCTATATAAAAGCTAGAGCTCCGATTTTTTCGCGTTGTCAATGTATGTAACTCTCGTCTCTTTTATTCCTTCCACCATTCTTTCGCTCGATCCTTCTTTTTTTTTTTTTCACACCACTTTACTTGGCTTCGTAATGTTGGAGTTCGTTTTGCGAGAAACCAGGCAGTCGGTGTGAAGGTCCACTGCATTAAGTTTTCTTCGTCCTCCAGGAACGAGAATCTCTTCTCCGCGCTTGACACATCACAAAATCTCTCTGGCTCTGGGACGCGATGCCGAAAGGGCGCCAACTTGAGCGAGAAAGCGAGAACGACGAGTATATATATTGCGGCATGTTTTCTTAGTGCTGCGAGCTACCAACAGTAACAAAAAAAAAAAAAAAACAAACGCATCAGGAATGTCAAAGCGAGAAAAACTACGACCGCTTTTGCAACAACGATAAAAATGAATACCAAAATTGATGTCGACTGCTAAGTTCCTGTATGATTGCCGTATTATGAGCGATGTATCCCTTGTTCTCTGCACCCAGTGTTTGCACCTTACACAAAGGTTAAGAAATCCAAGCTAGAAAATCGCACCTTGGGAAGCTCAATGTGACTTAGTCGTGCTTCCCACCTCCGGCTTCCATTTGTAAATGCTGCAAGGAACGAACAAGTGTAGCAACGGAAACAAGGAGGAAAAAAAAACTAGAAAAACGACCGCACCTTTCTCTTCCCAACGTATGGTTGCACCGCAGGAGGCGTGGAGTTTGTCGTCTCTTCACGCAGCTTCTTCTTCTCCATCTCAAACTCCTTACGGCTGTCCCTCCTCGATCCGTTCTGCCAAACTCGTCCAAAGCTCGGGAGCCAATCGTTCGCAGCTTCTTCTCTGCGCGGTGCGGCATCTCGCTCAAGCTGTGCCTTTCGCCGATTGGCCCAAGCCGCTCCAACGCGCTTGTCTAGCCGCTCCATCTCTCTTCGTTTACGTTTGGAAATTCCCTTCGGACACCCGTCGTCACTTCCGTGAGTCGGGAGGTCAGACAACCAAGGCGGGGGGGCCCCAGAGTGCACGTTTCCCTTGCTTGACACAAGCGGCCGTGGAGTGACAGTGGCAAGATCTGCAAAAAAAAAATATCAAAGTGTCAAGCAACAGAGTTGGAATAATGCAAAAACAGCATACTTCCACCAAACGCTGCCACTGTGTGTCTATGCGCTGTAGCACCGTTAACCTGCAATGTCTGATCCTTGGAAATTTTTTGTAAAGGCTCAACACAAACACTGGGACTTTGGCTGCTCTTTGCAGCCAGAAACCGTTCATGATGGATATTATTCTCCATGGCACCTTGTGTTGTAGCTACGCTGCTGCTGTCCGCCAATGCTCCATCACCGCAAACAGCTTCCCACTGGAAAAGAAAGAAAAAAAAAAGAGAAAAGAGCTTCTTTTTCTAAGTCAAAATCTTGGAATTGTCATGCAAATGGAAAGAGGAGAAAACGACTCACTCACATCCGCGATCTCCTTTCTCGAAAAGAAAAAGTCATGACGGGTGTTGGCGTCAGCGCCATTCTCACACCAAAACCTCTTCACATTTGAGACGTGGGCCGCGCTTGCAAGATGGTGAATTGCATTGGAGCTGTGTGCCCAAAAGGAGGATCAAGGAAAAAATAAAATAAAATCTCACTATAGCACGAAAATCTCGATCTTACCAGGCAATGGAGCTGCTGCCTTGATTGTCAGCGACATCTTCCTCGCAGAACAAGCACCAGAAGCGATGCGACGGCGCCTGGTCTCGCGGATTCCCAAGAAATCCTCTGAGGCCCTCGATTTTCATCCGGATCTTCCCAAGAACGCTCTGCAGCGCATTGCGATGGCCTGCCGTGTACCTGTGACCTCTCCCTTGCTCGTGATTCCTCCGGCACACGGCGCAGAAGGAGAAGCCCTTCGCGCCCATCCCACGAAGAACCCTAAACTCGTTTCTTTCCCCCAAGAACCCTAAAATATTTTCCTGGATGGATGCGTCCAAGGACGAGGATTCTAGCGCATTCTCTCCGCGATCGCTTCCCGGCACTCGTAGCGCTCCAGGGAATCAACACGATCGCGCTGCTCGTGTTGGCATTGAAGGCGTGCGCGAGCTCGCGGCAGCTCGAATCGGGCAAGAGGATCCACGCCGATGCAATGCGCTCTGGCGAGCACAGGAATGCGTTCGTGGCGACGACGCTGATCTCTATGTACGCGAAGTGTGGCAGCATGGCGGATTCTCGCAAGGTTTTCGATGCCATGGCCGTGAGAGGCGTGGTTGCCTGGACGGCGCTCGTTCTTGGCTACGCCGAGAATGGAGAGGCGAGGCTGGCGCTGGAACTCTTCTCTAGAATGGAGGAGCCGGCGGATGGGCCAGCGTTCGTGGCAGCGGCTATGGCCTGTGCGATCGCAGCGGTGGAAGAACAGGGCAGGGAAATCGATGGAAAGGTTTACAAGTTGTGGAGCTTGGAGAAAGGGATGGAGCTCCACTCCCGAGCGGCGAAGCTTGGTTTCGATCGATCTAGCTCCTTTCTCGCCAACACTCTGCTGGATTTGTACGCTAAGTGTGGGAGCTTGGTGGATTCGTGGAGAGTTTTCGAGACTATAGCTTCGCCGTGTGTGGTGTCGTGGACGGCTTTGATACAGGGACATGTAGAAAATGGTGAGACCCAAGCTGGATTGGAGCTCTTCGACTATGTTCTTGGGAGAAAGATCTGCGAGCCAAACTCGAGAACTTACGTAGCTGCTTTGCTCGCTTGCGCGGAGCTGGCTGAGAAAGAAGATGGAACGCAAGTTTTCCTCCAAGAAACTGGAAAGGTGGCTACTGTAAGGCTGAAGACTTTGGAGAGATGCTTCGAGCTTCACTCTCAGGCGCTGGAGCGGGGTTTTGCGTCGGATAGATTCATCGAAAATGCGCTCGTGAGGCTCTACTCCAAAAGTGGAAGCATGGCCAATGCTTTCTTGGTTTTCCAAGGTATGATCTCTCCCGACGTCGTTTCTTGGACTGCTCTCATTCTCGGCTACGAACTAAATGGTGACAGTGAACAGGCTCTGGAATGTTTCATGCAAATGGAGCGCTCGGATTGTAGACCGGACGCTCGGACTTTCACTGCCGCACTCACGGCTTCCACAACTCTGGCGGCTTTTGATGCTGGGAGAAGAATCGATGCTCTAGTAACTGGCCAGGGACTGGAGAGCGAGCCGTTTCTCTCGGCTTGCCTGGTGGACTTCTACAGCAAGTGCGGACGTGTGAAAGCTGCTCGCTACATCTTCGACTCGACTGCTGCCGTTGGAGTTGTGCACTGGGGAGCGTTGATGGCTGGCTATGGTCGGCAAGGAGAGAGCGACGAGGTGATCACTCTTTTCGGCAGGCTTGTCGATGAAGGTCTCAAACCGAATGCCGTCGTCCTCCTAGCAGTTCTCAGTGCTTGCAGTCACGCTGGTCTCCTCGAGAAAGGACGGAAGCTTTTCGGTTCTATGAAACCGGTCTATGGTGTCCAGCCAGGTATCGAGCACTATCATGCCATGATTGATCTTCTCGGCCGGTCTAACCATTTGGACGACGCAGTGACCATGATCAGAGACATGCCATACAAGCCGACGGTGGTGACATGGAGGACGCTGCTAGGTGCTTGCTGGAAGATGAAAAACGTTCCTGTGGGAAGGATGGCTTTCGACTCAATCATGGAGCTGGATCCAGGTGAAGTCTCAGCTCACATTCTCATGTCCAACATCTATGGAAGCCTTGGGATGTTTGTGGAGAAAGCCAACGTTCGTGCGATGGGTGGCTTGGATGAGGAGGCGCTCGAGCACGAGTCCTGGAATTTGTAGAACAGGCACTTTACATCAAGGAATGGATTCAACACTTCAAAAGGTCTGCTTATCTCTTTTCATGTTTCGGATAGATTAATTAAACTTTTCTTTCAGTGTGTCGCGCGAAAGCATATGAGAAGCTGCGGACCGTCAGATGAGACTATACACTAGGGTTGAGCGAGAGGCGCTGGAGTTTTCGCGAAGGTTAGAAAGGATTCCTTGCGGCATTGGAATGGGTCCCGGAAATGCGCGTAAGTACTTTGAGCAGGAGCTCCACTTATTGCTGACGATCCTCACATGATGGTTTTCTTTTTCTTCTACAGTAGCAGCAGCTGTCTAAATGATGTGGTTCTGCTACAGGCTTCGAGCTGCATGGAGATCTTCCGCTCAAAGAGATGGTAGACACTTTTCCAGGATAGCGAAGCAGACTGAAGAGCGACAAAGAGTCTCGGACTTGCTCGCAGCTTTGAAGGACGCCAACAAATCCAGGGACTTGGAAAAAGCAAGGAAAATCCACGCAGATGCTGTCGCGAGTAAGGACGACAAGAACATCTACGTAGCCAGCAGCTTGGTGAGCTTGTTTTCGAAATGCGGGAGCATGGTGGATGCTCGCAACGTGTTCGACAAAATACCGCGGCCGAATGTGGTTTCCTGGACATCACTGATTTCCGGCTATGTTCTCGATGGCAAAAGCGAGGTAGCTCTGGACATGTTCTCGCGCATGCAGACTAAAGGCTGTGCTCCAGACGCTCAGACTTTTGCTGCCGCACTCAAGGCTTGCACGGGGATGGCTGCAAAAGAAGAAGGCAAGCTTGTCAAGGGGAGAGTTGTGAAGCCGAAAGCTCTTCAAACAGGGATCGCTATACACTCTCAAGTTAAAAAGAGCAGCTGCGACGCAGACGTGATCCTGGCCAACACACTTATTGATTTCTACACGAAGTGTGGAAGCATGGCTGAAGCTAAGGAGGTTTTCGACGGGATTCAGAAGCCGGATGTGGTGTCCTGGACGTCATTGATACTGGGATACGCACAGAATGGGGAAGGACAAGTAGCTTTGGACTTGTACCAAGACATGAAGTCCAGCGGGTGTTCACCAAATGGTCAGACGCTTTTGGCTGCTCTAAAGGCCTGCACGGATCTGGCAGCAAAAGAAGAGAGCAGCAAGGTTGATGGAAGTCTGTTGCGAGTCTCCACGTTGGTCAAAGGCAGGGAAATACACTCAGAAGCTACAAAGAACAGGTTCGACTCAGACATCTTCGTTGCGAACACGCTCATCGACATGTACGCGAAGTGTGGGAGCATGACTGAAGCGATGAACGTATTTGAGAGGATTCCACGACGAGCAGTGGTGTCCTGGAACGCGCTGATGCTGGGCTATGTTCACAACGGGCAGGCAGAGGTGGCCTTTCGTCTGTTCGAAAGGATGAGATCGGAAGGATGTGCACCAAACGGCCAGACTTTTGTTGCTGCTCTCAAGGCGTGCTCTGGCTTAGCTGCCAAAGAGGAAGGCGAGCAAGTCGACAGCAAAGTCGTGAAAGTATGGTCGCTACAAAGAGGCATAGAAGTCTACTCTGCGGCATCAAAGTTCGGCTTCGACTCGGATATATATGTGGCAAATACGGCAGTGGACATGTACGCGAAGTGTGGGAGCATGAGACACGCTGGAGAAATCTTTGAGAAGATTTTGCATCCGGACGTGATTTCCTGGACGGCTCTGGTATCGGGATTTGCTCAAAACGGTGAAGGTGGTGTAGCTCTGGAGTATTTTGAGCGCATGCAAGCTCAAGGCTGTCCGCCGAATGGCCAGACTTATGTGGCTGCTCTCAAGGCTTGCATCGACCTGGCCACCAACGAAGATGCAAAGCTGGTGGAAGGAAAGCTTGTGAAAGCTGGCTCGTTGGAGAAAGGGGAAGATGTTCACTCCCAAGCGGCAAAGCGGGGCTACGAGTCGGACATATTTGTGGCCAGCGCTTTGATCGACATGTATTCCAAGTGTGGGAGCATGGCGAGCGCTCGAGAGGTTTTCAACGGGATGAAGCGGCGGGACGCTGTGGTCTGGAATGCACTCATGCTGGGCTTCGCTCTAAACGGTGCCAGTGACGAAGCCTTGGAGCTGTTTACTCTCATGCAATCCCAAGGCTGTGATCCGGACGCTCAAACGTTTGCTGCTGCGTTGAAGGCCTGTTCCAGCTTCCTGAGTGAAGACGGTAAAGCGGACGACGAGAAGACAAAGAGAGCTTTGGAGAAAGCTTCGTTGATCCATTCCCAAGCAGCGAAGTTTGGGTTTGACACGGATATATTCGTCGCGAGTATGCTGGTCGATCTCTACGCAAGGTGTGGAAGCATGAGAGAAGCTCGTCAAGTTTTTGAAAGAATACCCCGGAAGAAACATAACGTGGTCTCGTGGACTACCTTGATCGCCGGCTATGCTCAGAACGATGAACCGGAAGACGCTCTCGAGCTGTTTCAACGGATGCTGGTCGAAGGATTTGCACCAAATGCTCAAACTTTCGTGGCAGCACTGAAGGCCTGTGGAAGTTTGGCAGCTCTGGCAATTGGGAAGGCAATTCACTCGACTATTTCCAGATATGGAGCTGAAGGCGTTGCATCCGTGTCCAACACTCTCGTGCTCTTGTATGGTAAATGCGGGAGTATCACTGGTGCTGAGCAAGTTTTCTACTCGACTACCGCGAAGGACGTCGTGACTTGGAACGCACTGATGGCGAGCTATGGTCACTTGGGAGACACAGCGGCTTTGTTCCGGCTGAGCCAACAAATGCTGGAGGGAGGCTTAAAACCGGACGGGATTACTTTCAACTTCATCCTCACTGCGTGCAGCCATGCCGGCTTGGTCGACAAAGGGAAGCACTACTTCCAGGCAATGAGCTCGTCGGAGTATGGAGTAACTCCAGATCTGGAGCACTATCACTGTATGGTGGACTTACTCGGGCGTGGAAACAAGCTAGACGAGGCTGTCGAGATGGCGAAAACGATGCCGTTCAAGCCGAGCGTGATCACTTGGACGACCATCTTAGCAGCAAGCAGGAAATGGAAGAATGTTGCGGCTGGAAAGCTCGCCTTTGACGAGCTGGTTTCGCTGAACGAGAAGCAAGCTGCATCGTACGTGCTTATGGCAAACATCTACGCTGCTGCTGGAATGTGGGAGGAGAAGGCCAAAGTTCATGCGATGAGGAAGGATGCGAAGGCTTGGAAGAAGCCCGGACAGAGCTGGTGGACTGACGAGCGTGGAATCATCCATAAGTTTGTAGCCGGAGACAGAACTCACGCGCAAAGGGACGAGATTGGCGAGAAGTTGAAGCTTCTCGAGGCTGCTATCAAGGATCAGGGGTACGTTGCGGACGTAGGAGCCGTTGCATGGGACATTCCGGACGAGGATAAAGAGGAGTCGCTTTGCGGCCACAGCGAGAGGCTGGCTATCGCCTGTGCTCTCGTGAATTCTCCAGCAGGAACAACGATTCGTATCGGCAAGAATCTGCGTGTCTGCGAGGACTGCCACAAGGCAACGGGCTTCATCTCCAAGGTGGAAAAGCGAGTCATCGTTTGCCGAGACGCCAGCCGGTTTCATGTTTTCGAGGATGGAAAATGCTCTTGCGGAGATTTTTGGTGAGCGAAAGAGGTAAGCTAAGTTCTGGACTGCAACTTCGTGGTGTATTAACTTTCATATGCTAGGGCTGTGGAAGGAGGAAGCCAAGTTTTTCTTCCTGGAATGAGGTATGTGGGTGTTTTCCATTAAGCTCCTCTAGCTCAAGAGCAACTCATCTCACATTTTCCGGGATAACACGAGTGAGAGCGCGCTCGCACCACGAAGAATGCAGACATTGGTTCGTGTTTTCCATTTTTCGTAGTTTTCATTCCACTTTCTTTCAGCTGAATTCGCAGCAATGACGACGAGCCAAGTTTATCACGCTACAGATTCTTTCGACAAGCTGAAGCCCAAGAACAGGCGGCACGAAAATAAAGAGGCTCTCAAACTCTACGACCAGCTGCAGCACGACGGTGCAAGACACAGCGTTCCGGTCATCCTCGCGGCTCTCAAGTCATGCAGCGTGTCGAGAGACATCGAGACAGGGATGAAGATCCACGCGAACGTGGTTTCAGGCAGCAGATTCCACACCAACATCTACATTCTAAACAGCCTCTTGGACCTCTACTCCAAGTGTGGCAGTATGGTGGACGCTCAACTAGTTTTCGACCGGATGCCAGTCCACACCATCGTCTCCTGGAACACTATCATCAAAGGATACACTCACAGCGGCAAAGGTAGCTTGGCACTTGATCTCTTCTCCAGCATGCAGCAACAAGGCTGTCAACCAAACTCGAGAAGTTTTGTCGCAGCGATCGGTGCGGTAACGAGCTTGCTAGCAGCTGAAGGCAACGACGAAGCCGAGAACAAACTCAATTGTCTCGAGAAAGGAATGGCTCTGCATTCCTCGGCTTGCAAGGCGGGCTACGATCTTGACATGTTCGTGGCAAGCAGTCTGGTGGATCTGTACGCAAAGAGTGGGAGCATGGAAGATTCACGCAGGTTGTTCGACAGGATGAAAACTCGCGACGTGGTTTCGTGGACTGCGCTCATTTCCGGCTACGTCCAGAGCGGCCAAGCCAAGCTCGCGTTACAGCTCTTGCATCGTATGCAAGAAGAAGGTTGCCAGCCAAATGCTCTAACTTACGGAGCCGCGCTCAATGCTTGCACGAAGCTGGCTATGGAGGACGAAGAACAGGATGGAAAGTCGAAGCTGATCTACCTGGAAAAGGGCAGGGAGCTTCATTCTCGCCTGGCAAAGTGTGGATACGAAGCCGACGCATTCGTCGCGAGCAGCCTCATGGACATGTATTCCAACTGTGGGAGCATCAGAGAGGCCAGGCAAGTGTTCGGGAGAACCAAGAACCACGACGTGGTTGCCTGGAACACGATCATCATGGGACATGCACAGAACGGAGATGGAGAGATGGCTCTCGAGCTCTTCTATCAGATGCAACGCGAAGCTGGCCTGCCTCCAAACGCTCGGACTTTCGTTGCTGCGATCAATGCTTGCGCGGCTGTAGCAAGCAAAGAAAAAGAAGCCGGGGGAAAGAAAGATTCCAGCTTGGAGAGAGGAGCTGCGATTCACTCACAGGCGATGGAGTCCGGGTGCTGCCGCGATATCTTCGTGGCCAACAGCCTCATCGACATGTACTCCAAGTGTGGAAGTCTGGAAGAAGCTCGCCGTGTCTTCGACGGCATGGAGCAGCGAAACATCGTTTCCTGGACGTCGATGATCATGGGGTACGCCGAGAACAACGCAGCCACCTTTGCTCTCGAGCTCTACGAGCAAGCCGGCTCCCACCTCCAGCCAAACGCTCAGACTTTCATGGCGGCGCTCAAGGCCTGCGGCGACTTAGCAGCGCTGGACGCTGGGAAGAGGCTCCACTCGCAGATCCGAGAAAGAAATCTGGACAGCAATCCACTGCTCGCATGCTCGCTCATCGGGTTCTATGGAAAGTGTGGAGACACGGCCGCCGCTCGAGAAGTTTTCCACTCTGTGGCGAGGAAGGACGCGGCCGTGTGGAGTGCTCTCATCGCGGCTTACAGCTTCCAGGGAGACGCAGCCGGGGCCTTGAATCTCCTCGAGAGGATGCGGGAGGAGAAGATCCGGCCAGATGGTGTGACGCTCCTCTCGGTTCTCAAAGCTTGCAGCCACGCCGGGCTCGTCGACGCTGGCCTCGAGTGCTTCCGGGAGATATCCTCGCCGACGATCGAGCACTACACCTGCGTGGTGGATCTCCTGAGCCGAGCAAATCGGCTCAAGCAGGCGGTGGCGGTGGCGGAGAGGCTGGCGGCGCAGAAGCGGAGCTTGCCGGCGGCGGTGTGGATGACAATCCTGGCCGCGTCCGCGAAGTGGAAAGATGTAGACACCGGGCGACTAGCGTTTGAGAAGCTGCGAGCTATGGATCGAGAGGAGGCCTCCATCTACATCGCCATGGCCAACGTTTACTCGAGCGAGCTGGCTTCACATGACAGTGACGTGGCTGCTGGCGCGCCGACAGTTGGTTGACGTGGCGTCCACGTCGGGGTCTATCTCCGCCGTTGGTTTCGTATCCAGTGGCGCCATGGCGATGGCTTCCACGATGACTGCTCTCGCGAGCTCCTTTGCGAAGTGTGGCGGCTCCGCGAGATTTCTCGACGATTACAACTTCAACTGCGGTGGCAATTCGCTGCGATTTCGATCGATCAGTGGTCATTGCCAGAGGATTTCCAAGGTATGTCTTCTTCGTTTTCTCATCGAGTTTGATCGTTTTCCGTTCCAGAGTTTGGTGGTGAATCGAAATCGAGCAGGGGGGCAGCGAGGAATCATGTACGAGGACGAGGATACGTTCGTTCTCCTGGAGCCCGGCGAGGACGAAGTGTTCGTCTCCATGGAGCAGCTCCAGTCGCGGATTAAATCCTGGCTGGAGCGATGGCCGTCGGGGTCGCTGCCATTCGACCTCCAAAACTTTAAGACTCTGGACGAGGCCGCGTCGCATCTCGTGACCAATTCCTGCGAGCTCGAAATTGGCGGCGGCTTTGGTTCCATTCAGTGGTTCCAAGTTAGACTGGAAGAACGATAGATTATAGTAGTAGCTTTGTTTAGAACTACTCTTTTTCTATCTTTCTATTTCGTGTCAACATCTAGAACGAACATATCAAGCCCACATTACGTAAGCCAGGGCGTGCCGTGAATTTATAATCAAAAAGTTGGTTTGGATCCACACACAAAGTTTAAGCATTAAACTAACATTTTAGAAGGTTCTAAAGAAACCTAACTTCTAGAAAGGTGGTAGGGCACGGAAAACAGGAACGCGTCACTGACGCCATATGGCGCAAATACAAGATATGTACGGCAGCGTGTCGTCGCCCGTCGCGTAGCTTGTGAATTGCTAGCAACTTTTTTTTTTCTCTCTCCCTCGTTTCCGCGAGTCACAGGAATCGTATGACACTAAACATTGGGCGATTTTATTAATCGGGGGTGTTTTCCTACATGGTACAAACCATAGCTTTTCTTCCATGCATTGGATGGATGATCCAACGGCGGTGGCACTACCCACCAGTCAAAAATGACTTTTGGCCACGGCTACCGTACGATTCTAGAGAAAAGGCTGCTGACGTGTTTCTTGCCACGTGGCCCACCGTTGCGGCCGCCACGTCAGGCAGTTAAGCACGGCGGGCGGTAGATGTGACGCATCCGACGGCAACGGCAGCCAGCGACGCGGACCGTCGGATCGGCGGAATCGACGGTTGCCATGGCAATCGTAATGCGCGAGAGAGCTTGCTAGGTTTTCTTCGTGGTGGGAGGGAGAAAATGCGAGCGCCATGCTGGATCGAGGGCATGCAGTGATCTCTATGGATTGATTTCTCGCAGGGCGGTGGAGCTAGCGCGCGTGCGCCGCGGGCGCGCGCTGCATAGCGATCGATGGGAGCATGGCCGGGGTTTTGATCTAGAGTGGTAGTATTTCTTCATGCGCGCTCGGGATTTGTGGATCTTGGAGCTGGATAATTCTTGCTGCCCGGGGAGTGTCGCGGCGGGATGGGGAAGGTCCGGGGATGGCTCCACAAGCTGGGGCTTGGAAGCAGGAATGCGGCACAGGACGAGATGGCGCTGATGAAGATCGCGCAGGGGCCGGATTTGGATGTGGCGGAGGCAGGCAGCGAGATGGCCCAATTCGGCGCCGGATGCTTCTGGGGAGTGGAGCTAGCGTACCAGAGAGTTCCTGGCGTGACCAAGACGGAAGTGGGCTACTCGCGCGGCTACCTCCACAACCCTTCCTACAGGGACGTTTGCGATGGGGATACCGGCCATGTCGAGGTCGTCCGGGTCCAATTTGATCCAAAGTGCTGCTCATATGAGAATCTCCTCAGCGTTTTCTGGTCCAAGCACGATCCTACCACTCCAAATCGTCAGGTAAGCTCGCAAAAACAGATTTTTTTCTTCGCGATTCTAGCTGGCTGATGGAAGTTTTCGTGAAGAACAGGCTAACGATGTAGGAACCCAGTACCGCTCTGGAATTTACTACTACACTCCCGAGCAAGAGAGCGCGGCCATAGCATCGAAAGAGAGCCTCCAGAAGAGCTTGGACAGCCCGATCGTGACGGAGATCCTGGCCGCCAAGAAATTCTATCGAGCCGAGGCGTTCCACCAGCAGTACCTCGCCAAAGGTGGGCGATTCGGATTCAGGCAGTCCGCTGCAAAGGGTTGCACTGATCCAATCCGCTGCTATGGGTAGAACAACGCCATTTGGTTCTTCCTTTTCTTTCTTTCCTCTCATCCTTTTTTTTTCTCTACACTCATTCTCCTCGTACGAGTGAGAGTCCTTGGGAAGGATCAAAAACAAAAAATTTTCTCCTCCTCCTCCTAGGTACGTCCATTTCTTCCATAAACATTTCGAGAATTTTTATTGAGTTCCAGCGAGAAGAAGAAGAAGAAGCGGAGGTTCTTCCAATCAACTGTACAGTTTGATCGAAAGAAAACAATCACCAGGCAATAAGTAAGAAGGTGGCGCTGCCACCACCAGCAAGTAAAAGAAGATCGCTGATCAAAAGGAATAAAAACGAGTAAAGTTACGCTCGTCGCCACGGTAGGAAGAACGACAAATGTTGTAAGCCTTCCCCATCCTCGAATTTTACTGTGCGTGTTCTTCGGTGGGCGATTCTCTCTCTCGGCCTAAAATTATAAGTTAAGAGAAAAGAGAGAAGATTTTCGTTTTCTAGAAGGATTCGTGGGAAACCTAGAACCGCTGATCTCAGCGATTCTTTAAAAAGAATGAAACTTTCACTGTGCTGGTTAAAAAAAATCCTCACAACTCATTGTTCTAAACAAGAAAAAGCGTAGATTATTCTTAGGCTTTATCTAGACACTCGTGTTCTCGTCTATATATCTAGATTCTTTTCGTGACTTTGGAGTTCTAGCTCTTCTAGTGGAATGTTAGTCGTCGATCGACGCTACCCTGGAAGCCAACTTAGCTTTGTCCTCGTTGTTTTCGTCAAAGTACATGAATACGGACAGATGGTGATAGCTCCATTTCCTTTGCTTTTGTTGAGATGAGATAATTGATCGTTGGGATTTGAAACCATTTCAAAGAAATCCTCCCTGAATTTCATCACTTGACTTGGGCAAATCAGGCAAAGTCGCCCAAGGTTGGGAAAAGTCCAGGGCAATCAAATCTCTCTTTTCCAGCCGAGGAGAAATCACATACTACTCTCAGTCTGATCATCATGATCAGAGTCCAGTGATCTCCACAGCTGTTGAATTTCTAGAAGTACGTGACGACTCATGCAAAGACAGCTGCTGGGTTTCCAAATTCCGAGAAGAGAAAGGGATTCCGTCCAAGTTCCAGCACAAACCAACAGGTTTGTACAAGATCAGGTTGCTGTGCAGCTGTGAGGAAATTTTGAGTTCTGCTATGCCTGCTGATGCATGATTGGATTTTTCTGTGCTTTGGGTCAACATCGTGAAAGGCTGTCGAGCAAAACTGATGAGCACGATATTCACACAGCTCTAAATTCGTCCCTACAAACAAGTATTTTCTCCTTGGGTTAATGTGATATTTCAAAATGTATACAATAAAAGAATGTACTACCCTTTCTTATAGTAAGCCAAATATAATAATCATATTTACTATGCAAAACTGAAACACTAATGACATGCCATGTTATTTAATGACAGAATAATAATAGTGTTCATCTAAGCTAAAAAATAAGTTTGTTGCATATAAAGTAATCAAATTCTAGATAGTGTGAAATAACTTTACTGTTACAAAATTAAAATTATGCTGAAAGGAAACATTTTATCATTTTTTATTTTAATATTTAAAAATATAGTATCAACTTTGACTATGTACTCCTTTGCAAGCGCAATGATGCACTTCGTGAAGAGAATTTCACACTCAAGCGTTTGAGCCAAGTTTATTTTACCCTACTTTTGCTTGAAGACAATACAAATAAATTTAATTGCATTACCTTTTCTTGTTGGCCTCCTATACATCTCTATAAGAATAGTCCTGGTTCTATCACTCATGTCTCCAACTCTCCTCTTAAGATTGAAACTAAATTTCTCAAAGTTTTCAATCTTATCCAAGGTGAGTGCAACTGTAGTGTATGTGGTTTTTACCCTTTATCCTATGGTGATTTACCATAGGATAATACCACAAAGTGGAACCTAAACCCTCCATATGCCACGTGTGATATGCCATATATCACATGCCACGTGTCCATAGGATAGTGGTGTGGAACCCGAGGTTCAGAGCCTTGGGCCACTAAACGAAGGAATGGTGCCAAACTCCCAAACATGGAGCCAAGGAATGACGGAACCGGACCATGAAGCAACTCCCGAGTATACAGCCCAAGGAGAAAAGGGACAGGAGCCCGGAGCAACTTGGAACAGTCCTAGAGCAACCAACATCCCAATGCCATGACCAATATGCAAAACAGAGCCAAACGGAGTCTAGCGCTATTTTGGCATACCAGTAGCCTAACACAAGGACATGGGTACTCCACCAGTTAGTATGGTGTGGAACTTGGGCTTAGACCTAAGCTAGACGTAAAACAAGGATAAACACGCAAGCGGGAGATAAACTATGCCTCAAGTTGGTCAGCCATGCCTGACCCACCCACTATCCCTATTATACATTTGAAACCCCCCACAATCCCCCCCCCGAAGAACACATGTTTTAGGCTTTCACCCCAAGCTTCCCTTAGTACTAGGAATTAGTCTCTGGGACAAGTTTGAAACTTACTAAATATTAAATATCCCTAGATTGTGAATTTGGATACGGGATGAGCACCATTGTGTTCAGAACAATCTCTACATTCTGTAGACATGCCAAATGAGCAAATCTAGACATTTTCCATAAATAGCATTTGGGACCAAAATGAGATTAACACAAAAGGCATGATAACAAGGGTGTTTGGCAAACACGGTAAGCTATCATCTTGCAAATATTGAAGGATCAATCTCAATATTGCGGGGGTTCCCAACACTAATAAATGCAAATTAACGAATGAGTTTCTCTAACCAGGTCAAGTATGCTTGATTAATAACACTTAGGAATTCCGTCCTTATGCTCATTTGGTCAAGTGCACACATGAGGATTAGTTTCTCAACTAGCTTAAGCAGAGACTAATAAAGGATCTAGCAATACCAACCTCCTGCTGTCGTGGCAGTAAGGAAAGAATATTTGAAAGGACTAGCCGACAGGTAATTTTCGATACCCGAAGTCACATTCACGACACCCTCCCCCCCTTAGGGAAGATCGACATCCTCGTCGATGCATACTCGAGTCTAGACCACCATAAAGGAAATAACTCCAGAAAAAGTTTATGGTGATCACACTATGTGAGAAATGCACCAATTTAAATGAGTTAGAAGGCAACCTCTTTGTTTAACGCGGATGCGCTATCAGCTTAGACACCTTCTGGCCGTCACCAATAAGGAAATGACCAATGGAATTAGCCACCCTTGCTACTCTAGGTGTCACCCAGCTTACAAAAGTGTGATATGCCCCTACCCGCAGGTGGCATAGAGAGAGAAGCCAAAGGCCCAAACCCTTTTGAGCAAAGAAACCAAATCTGTCAGTAAGATTTAAATAGACTCTTGTAAACAAGCAGTTAGAATTGTTTATACGTGTAAGGTCCTGAGTTTGGACTTCCCGGGAGGTCACCCAGCCCAGTACTATTCAAACCCAAGGACGCTTAACCCCAAATATCCCAAGACCCTTAACCAATTGGAAAAGGGGGTGCACTCTTATTCATGGGCCCTTTCCCTCTATATTTGAACCCCATGGATCGTCTCTCAAGTCGTTCCCTTTGGTTGCTTACAATCCACCACGCTTCCCTACAAGTTCACGCCCTCGTGAACAGAAGCTGAGAGCCGCAGCTCTCCCGAGAGCCCCGCTCTCTTGACACCCTACCCCTCAGGTCGAGCCTAGCGGGAGCAAACTGGACCAGCCAGATGTCAATCAACATGTGGTGTGATTCCCCTAGCCAACCAACAGAGTCGGACCCGAGACCGCTTTGATACCAAATGTAAGCTCCTGAGTTTGGACTTCCCGGGAGGTCACCTAACCCAGTACTATTTAAACCCAAGGACGCTTAACCCCAAATATCCCAAGACCCTTAACCAATTGGAAAAGGGGGTGCACTCTTATTCATGGGCCCTTTCCCTCTATATTTGAACCCTATGGATCGTCTCTCAAGTTGTTCCCTTTGGTTGCTTACAATACGGTCACGCCATTTTAACAGAATAAGGAACATCGACAAAGATGCGGGTGATGTGACCAGTCAACAGTAGCTACCCCATGACTACAGATTTCACCGTACACACGAAGTGCTAAAGCCAGTCTGCTTATATTAGCCCAAACTCGAAGATTAATAGATGGACAATATCAAAGTTAGAGACAATAATATCTTAGAGACTTAATTATCAGTCAATATATCTTGATTAGAACACCAAAAGTATTCCAAATAAGTTATCATCTGATAAACCAGTATTATAGTGTAGGAACCACCAAGATCACAACAGTGGGAAATATAGGATTCACTATCCAACAAAATTCAATAGCTAGTGTATCATCAAGGACACTCAATGACAAAACACAACTATCAAAGATTGCAGATAGCATGCGAAACAACTCACAAAAGACAACTAAAAGAACATAAAGTATCATCGACTAGCAAGCACAATGGTCGTAAATGTATCACCTGAAGGAAATAACATCCTAATCTATCAAAACTAACTTGAGCAATAATCAACATAACAGAATGAATGCGATAATGCGGCAGCGAATGCGAATATCATATGAATGCGATGGTCAACAAACACTCATTCATACTAATGATTGCATTAGCCAATCTAAATAAATCTTGGTCAACAATACCAAGGAACCAGAGTTGCTTAAGCAAGTGTCAGCAACATCCTATCAATATCTCAAACCCAAGAAACTAATCCAGAGCAAACCACAAAAAACATATGGTATTGCGAAAAGCCATAAGCTATCAAATAGCATAATTAACCATTATGAAAGATCATCAATCATCCCATCAAAAGAGATATACATAATCATTGTCAATGAAAGAATCTACCATCCCGTAAAATGACAAATCATTCTATATCAACAATAATCAAGCAAACATCTTTAACAAGGATAATCAACTATCCTAGATGATAATCAATCATCATCAATGATTGCCAGATGCAAATACTAACTTCAACATCGAAACTAATAAGCCAAAATGCTTTCCCCAACAACTTTTAACAAATAAAACAATAAGCATGAAAACCCAAGGAACCAAAAACTTGAAGAAGCTTATAGCCAACTTTTGCCTAATAATGATCACAAGTCTTGCATGAACTAACTTCAATGCTAAAGAAGAAATCATGGTGTAATTCACAACATCCTTCTTAACACTTCTATAAGCCAAACTTCATAATACCAAAGCTAATAAAGAATATATCTGCATCAATCCAAAAGCCAAGTGTAATGGAGCTATGCTCAACTAGTGATCACTAAAAAATCTTCCATGAATCCATCTATAGCAAGATGTAAATCACATCATAACAAACACAAGAAGAATCATCAATGATCAACATATTCAAACTCAAATTCAATAAGGATTTAAATAATCCAATATCGATCACTAACTCATCCTCTCGTACAGTTAGTGTTGTCCATGACTAAATCACTTTTTAAGGAAAAGCTCAAAGCTCAACCCCTACTAAATAATCTCGTCTAAAACACAACTAACTCAAACTTGCCACTTAGTTTGTCTGAATGTCAATATACTTGCTAACTAGCAAATGCATGAATACCAACAACACAAAGCTAAAACCAAATCATTCACATGATCTTCATTAAAACTAATGAAACTCAATATCAATCCTAAGGAGAGATATCTTATTTCACTTGCATCTCAATATCAACAATGTCAATAACAGGGCATCACTTCAATGCCATCAACACTATAATAAAAATAAAAGAAAGCAAGAGTGAATCACCACCCAAAGCTCTTTAGCAACCAAGGTAACCAAAGTTAAAAATACTATACTCAGTATCTGAGACTAATCCTTCAATAATACTCAATTTCAGATAACACATCATCATGGAGTGATTCACCACATCCAAAACTCCATGAAATCCAATACTACGGACTAAGCGTAAACAAATAATATTGATAAAGGTAGAGTCAACATATCAACATGGAAAACCCATGAAAATCTAATGACACAATCTTTCACAACACCATCCGGTAAAGCAAGTCTATCATTGCTAAATCTTCATTGAGCGAAGCAGGTGTCAATAGTTATCAACAAAATCTACAAGCAATCACTAGTTGCAAAGCAACCAACAATCATTTTTCAACTTGCATTTCACAAGACCCAAACACTAAATTCATGTCATCAAGTTATGTACTTATCTAACATGAACAAAATACCCTAGGTACGAGATAAAGGTTCATGGACAAGCATAAACTAAATGACAACTCGAATCCAACTCAACTGTAATAAACTCACTAACACGTCTGCTCTAAGCATGCCTTGAAGAAGCTAGTTATGCATGATAACACTCAGTAAAAACTAAAGTGATGACCATGAGATGGACTCATATCAGTACACAACCTCCTTATAGATAAAGTTATAGTACAAGTACTAACATCTCAATCTCAAACAACTAAGTTGGAAATTACAATCCTCAACCAAGGCATAGAGCCACCTAGAATAAGTCAACATTAGTGAGAGCTCACTACTCTTATAGAATATAATAAAATGCAAGGTGCACCTTGCTATCGAGCATAACACTATAGAATAAGGGTCACCTTTCTTAGAAAAGCGCAATGGCCACTTTTCTACACCAACTTTAGATTCTATCCAACTTAATTGCCTTAGCCTCAAAAGTTTGCATCTCTTTCAGGCTGCATCATACAAATTATATACTAAGGTTTAGAGTAACCAAAGTCAACTCCAACCCTTTCACTAGTTTGTATTGGCTTACAAAAATGAAATGGTTTTTGAGCAAAGTGACCAATAAATCAGCTATTGGAAAAGTTTAAGAGAATTTGTGGAAAATTTATAAAAAAATTTCATCCTAGAGAAAGAATGACTCTCAGTCTAGGAATACAAACTTCCAAAACTCAACCAACTTCCTCCTACCTACAACTTCACATAGGTTCACCTCAACACCAACCCATAGCATGTCTAAGCATCGAACATTTTTGCCCATACTTCCGACATCCAACACTGATATTTGTAAAAGGCAAAATGAACATCCCAGGCTTGATCATGAAGACCACATCTTCGGATATCCATATTGCACTAACACTCTTCTTCAATCACCTTCAAGATCCTATGTGAAGCTAAAACACTCACAAAAAAAATGACATGAAAAATCAAGGTCTAAGGAAAATTCCTCATCACTTGAAATAACAATGCCACTTTCACTAACACAAGTGGTAGTGATGTCAATGCCTCAACCTCACACCTTCTCTATCCAACAATCTACTTTAAGTGTTAACAGATAAACCAACAAGCCATAGCAAGTGAATGTTATAACCCTTTCTAACACATTATGGACAAACTGTAAGCAACCAAAGAAAACGACTCGAAAGACGATCCATGGGGTTCAAATATAGAAGGAAATGGCCCATGAACAAGAGTGCACCCCCTTTTTCAATCGGTTAAGGGTTTTGGGATATTTGGGGTTAAGTGTCTTTGGGTTTGAATAGTACTTGGCTGGGTAACCTCCCGGAAAGTCCAAACTCAGGAGCTTATACAAACTCAAGGAACTAAGGAACCAACTTAAGCTTAACATAATGGATCACCATTAAGAATCTAATCAAAACTACTACAATGTTACTATATGTAAGTAGATTAGCTTCACCGTCAACCACTTTAGGGTTGATCATTATTTAACCAAGCAACTTTGTAAACACATTACTCATTATTACATGGATATGGTATAAGTATCACAATGACTTAATCATTAATTGAGCAACACCATAGGAAATAGTCCAGGAGGATTCAACACTCTGTCTGGAAGCAACAGTGGTGGTCCAGGCAATAGTCCAGGAGGCTTCAACAATCCAGGAAGCAATAGTGGTGGTCCAGGAAGTAGTCCAGGAGGATTTAACAATCCAAGCCAGGGAGGTTTTAGCAATCCTTCCTCAGGTGCTGGAGGTGGAGGTTTTAATCTGGGGAGCGGATATAATACTGGGAACAACAATGGATACAACCCAGGTGGAGGAAGCAATCCTGGAGGCTACAATCCAGCACAGCAGCAGCCGCAGCAGCAACAACAACAACAGGGCCCTCCTGGAAATCCATAAGTCACATTTGTTCATTGCTTTGCTTCTATCTCAACCGTGTTCTTGTGATCTATACAGATGGTGATAACTCAGCTAAGACAAATCATGTGTAAGTCCTGTCTATCAGTCTCACGTCATAAACTTGTCGTCAAAAACTTGTCAACTTGGTTCTTGCAGCTGATGTGATGCTCGAGAAGATCAAAGAATCCAGCGTTCTCCTTGCCAATTCGTCGATGATTGCGATTTGAAGCGAAGAGATCAAGCTATAGTAGAGGTGTATGGTTTTTAGTAGTTTTACTTCAAAGACCATGTAGCGATAACTTTTGTTCTCTTATAACCTCGATCAATCCATTCTATTTACAACCAAGATCATTCAAAGTTTTCTAGTGAATCCTATCCCCCACTCGTAGTTTTCTTCTCACAAACTGGAGATTCTAAACTCTCCAAAACCTCGCGAGTTTGCTGCGCAATACAAAGCTGCTCGTTGGTCGGTATCACCAAAACCTTGATCCTCGAACCATCCTTGTGGATCTCTCTCAAGCTTTTACCATTTTTCTCCTCGTCAACCTGGATTCCAAAAGCCTCCAGCCTCTCGCAAACCATGGACCGCATTTTAGCGGACCTCTCGCCAACGCCACCGCTAAACACCAGCGCGTCAACTTTCCCCTCGAGATCAACAATGTACGCTCCCAGATACTTCCTTATACGGCAAATCCCATAGATCCCACTCTCCTTGTTGAGCAAAGCATTGATCTCGGCCAAGCCCATGGATTTGTGCACTGCGAGAAGGGCCAGATCGCCGGATCAACGTCGCCACTCCAAGTAGCCATTACTAAACCTTCGAGTGGAGTCATTCCCATGCTTGTGTCGATCGATTGCCCGTGACACACGCTCGCTCCAGCGCCGAGATGGAAGGCGATGAGATTAAGTTCCAGCGCTGGCCTTCCAAGGGCGCGGGAGGCCTCGCCAAGAAGAAACTGGTAGCTCGTCCCGTGGAAGCCATAACGCCGTACGCCCAGCTCTTCGTACAGCTTCCAGGGGATTCCGTACGTGTACGACGGCCGGGGGATGGTGGAGTGTCAAAGACGGCTACGTGGGGGCAGTGGAAGAGCTCCTCAGCAACTCGAATTCCCTGGAAAGTTTTTGTGATCTTTTTAAGAGAAAGGTTGGAGAAAAAATGGGACAAAAAAATGGATTTTTCCTTTTGGAAAAAAGATTGTTACCTCCAAGTTTGCTGGATTGTGAAGTGGAGCGGAACAGCCCTCTCGATTGCTTTCTTCACCTCTTGAGTTATATGCGTTGATTTGCTAAATTGCTCGCCGCCGTGAACGACTCGGTGCCCAACAGCGCAAACGTTTTGTGGCTGCTGAAGCAAGTCCATCACTTTCTTGAGACCAGCTTCGTGGTCTCCAATACATTTTCCCTGGAAGAAAACCAAAAAACTATTAGCAATCCAGCTATCCATGTACAAAGGCTTTAAGATTGCTGGAACACAAATACCATGATTTTTAGATCTTGGGCAGTGGAGATGCTCTTGTGGGAGATGGAGCTCTTGGAAGTTCCAATGCCTTCCACACTGCCCTGGAAAATGCAAGAAGCCACTCTTCCCAGATGATACAGGGCATACCTGACCCTCTAGAGGAACTCTTTCTTCACAAAAAACTTTACTCACTTGATCGATGAGCTGCCAGAGTTTATCACGAGCACGGACCTCGCCATTTGCGTGATTAGGGCGGCCCATCAAGTACATTCGCTTCATACACTCTCAGTCTGAGTGCTGACCATGGTTTGTAATGGATGTCTGATTAGGTAGCTCTCAACGAGCACCTTTCTACAGATTCATGTCCATATCTTGTGCTCTCTCTTTCTTACGCTATGGCACCTGCAATAGAATATTATAGGATCTTAAATATTCTTGATATCTTAAGTCACTACTCCTCAAAGTGTTATAAAGACATCTAGTAGCAAAACCAAGAGAAAAAAAGTTTCCTTTCTTTTGCTTGAAGTTCCAAAGATCTTAAGCATGTAAGCTGCTCACTGCAGTGACAAAATAAGTGAAGAAATAAAGATGAAGAAGAGGAAGAAAAAGTGAAAGAGAACTTTGGGGAGAAGGAAAAGGAGGGATTTTATGGGATTTGCATTGATCCTTATGATTTGCATGCTATCCAAAACTGGGATGTATTGTAATGATAACATACCCAATTTTGGATCTTTTGAAACTCATGTCAGGAGTGGTACTATAGTAATTATGTCAAAGTGAATATGCAGCCTTGCTTGCATTCACCTCAATATGGCTATTGTGGTACCATAACAAAATGTATGTAATTAAAGAAAATAATTTGAAAGATACAGGGAAAGGGTTTATGAATAAAAGTGCACCTCCTTTTTTAATTAGTTAAGGGTCTTGAGATACTTGGGGTTAAATATCTTTGAATTTGAATAGTATTAAGTTGGGTGACTTCTCAGGAAGTTCAAATTCAAAAGTTTACATTTGGTATTAAAACAATTTCAAGTTTAACTTTAGTTCTTGGTTAGAAGAATTATACCATATGTTGAAATTGATATCTGGCAAGTCTAATTTGCCTCCAGTTAGGCTCAACTTAAGAAGTAGAGTGTCAAAAGAGTAGAGCTTTGAAGAAACTTGCAACTTTTAGCTTCCATTCACAAAGATGTGTAAGAAAATGTTTTAAATTATAAACAACCAAAGAGAATAACTTGAGAAAAAATTCATAAAAGTTTAAATATAAAGGGAAAGGGCCTATGAACAAGAGTGCACCTCTTTTTTTAATATGTTAAGGTCTTGAGATATTTAAGGTTAAACATTTTTGGGTTTAAATAATATTGAGTTGGATGACTTCCTATGAAGTTTAATTTCAAAAATTTACATTTGGTATCAAAATGGTATCAAGTTTAACTCTATTGGTCATTTTAGAAACTATTATTTAAAGACAAAAGTAAAGAGCACTTTTTTTTTTTTGAGACAAGTAGTATACTATATAACAATAGTATCTCGATTATGTTTTTCCTTTTGTTTGTTATGTGTATAAATTAATTAGATTTTAGCAAATTTGATTACTTAAGTATTGTGATGTTTAGTAGCTGAGGAACTGTGTTTTACTAATAATGTGAATGTTTTAATAAAATTTAATTAAGTTTTAGCTTTTTTATGAATTATTAAAAATCCCATTTAATTTATAATAAAAGTAAGTACATATTATTTATATTTTTTTAATAAAAAAACTCAATAAATTATAATTTACATACTTAAAACAACCTTCAAATGACCAATTATTTTATCCATAATTACCTTTTGTTACATATTTGCTAAACCCAAAAAAATTATAAATTGATATAACTCCTTATCTACAGTAAAACATGAAGTTTATATAATAGGATTTGGATGTTAAGGCCAAGGCAGTATTGGTCAGATATACGAAGTAAACTAAATTGGAAAGGAAAAATTTGTGGCTTACAGCCCTTTTGTCTTCAAAATGTCTACATGGGTAGATCTTTGGTGTAGATCTTCTCTCCTGAATGGACATGTTTGGGTCCAGTGACCTTGCAAATGCATGGGTACATTTTGACCATATGGAGCTTATGTGTATGATCCAAGGTAATTTTTATTCTTATTATATTGAAATTGTTGTAATATTTGTGTTTTCACAGGCTACATTGTAACTTGACAATTGTGACAATAGAGTTTAAAGTAAAAAACCAGATAGCCCAGGAAATAATTTGGAAGTCCCTCTCTGATATTATCCTAAAGCAGATTGGTAAGCCTATAGACTTTCATGGTTTCATGGCAGATAGGGCTAGTGCAAACTGAAATAGTGTCAAAGTAGGTTTTGGGAATGGTCCATCATTGGAAAGTCTTGAAAGGACTTATGAGTTCTATTTGGCTCAAAGCCTAAAAGAGCATTGCCATCTTATCAAGCTAGAGTTTCAATCAGTGTTTAAGGAGTTGTACAAACAATGGCAGGTTGCACCTTCTAAAGAAGAGTATGAGGTAAAAGCAAATAAGATCCAAATGTGGTGGCCAATATCTATTGGTGATATAAAGATTGTTCACTCAAAGTGTCATTTTTCCTTTGTTGATGAAGATGTTGGCATGGACCTTGGAGTAAAAAGCTCTCACAAGCTTGATGTTGAGTATCATTTTACACCAAGACACTACTTTTAGACCGAGTTGCCTCAAGTGGTTAATGAAGAGAGTGTATCACAACATGTTAAAATCATTTACCATAGTGTAAAGTTGAAACAATGGGCAATCTGATACATGCCAGCAAAATCGAATGTAAAGTGTGCGGGGATGCTTTTGAAGGGCAAATGTTAGGCTTGGATTCTGATGATAAATCTGCTTCTGTTCTAGCCCCATGTTTCTATGAGGAACAAAAACAAGCATAATTTTCGAGATGGTGCTGGCTATATTGTTACAACACCAATGCCAACCATATGAAGTGGCTGGAAGATACTATAATGACTAAACCTGATGTAGTACTTAAAGAATGGCGAGTTGTTAATGGGGTCGCTATCGCTAATGTGACTTCAGGTATTGAAAGTTACTTGTCAGCTAATCCTTTTGGATATTCTCTCCTTATTGCCACGATGGCAGGAGGTTAGTATTGCTGGATCCTTTATTAGTCTTTGCCTAAGCTAGTTAAGAAATTGGTCCTTGCGTGTGCATTTGACCAGATGAACATAAGGACGAAATTCCTAAGTGCTATTAGTCAAGTATACTTGATTTGGTTAAAGAAACTCATTTATTGACTTGCACTTGCTAAGTGTTAGAAACCCCCACGATATTGAGATTGGTCCCTCAATATTCGCAAGATGATAGTTTACCATGTCTGCCAAACACACTAGCTATCATGCCTTTTGTGTTAGTCTCATTTTGGTCCCAAATGCTATTTATGGAAAGTGTTTAGATTTGTTTATTTGGCACATCTATAGAATGTAAAAATTGTTTTGAATACAATGGTGTTCGTCCCATGTCCAAATTTGCAATCTAGGAACATTCCATATTTAGTAAGTTTTGAGCTATAAAAATCCATAGTGAAATATAATTGAAATTTAAATAGAGCAATAACAAGAATATCAACAACGTACAAAATAAATTTAAATTCTATAGCAAATTAAACATGTGTAAGTGTGACAGTATTAATATTATTGTCATCTATTATAATATCTGATGCATATATACACATAGATCCAAGGAAGGATTTTCAGTACGTGAAGTTTGATACCTAATAATGATATCAATAATGACATTTTGTTATAGTGTGTCAATCCAAAAGATCCAATCTAACTGTCAGCACGTGTGATGTGTTAAGTTGTCAAATTTTAAGTGGTAGATAATAATAAATTTTG